CTCTTCTATTCCTGTGAATGAGTTGGCTTTAAAGCTTTCAGAGTGTCACATAACTTCCTGAGTGAAATTTGTCGAGAGGATTCTCACAGATCCTGATCACCCATTGCACGCAGAACTGACACATTGTCGTTCCCATCATTCAACACGCTCATTATTCCGCCAAATTTCATCTGGAATTAACGCTTACCGCAATTCACCCATACCGTATCTTGCTCGTCTACTCAAAAACAAAGAGCGGACAGTAGGTGGACTTTGTCCTAACCTTGGATTATGAAATGTCCCCGTGCCTGTAAACTTTTCTCCCCGTTGATTATGTATATTGTAACGGTTCGCGTGTATGATTTTCTAACTGAAATTTGAGCTCCAGTGCCTGGAAACGTTATACACAATACATAATACAATGCAGAAATATGAAGCTATAAGATTGGCCGAGGTGTTTGACTACACTTTTGACATGTATTGGCACTCCTTACCCCTATACCTTTTCAACTTCAAGGGAATTCATTGTAACTTCAATTGAATCCAAACAATCGCATTCCACCAGGAACCGCACAAAATTATTGTTGTTTAGGCCGCCAAATGTCACCGATTGAACCGGATCTGTCTAAATACCATTCAGTTCAAATGAATTAAATTCTCAGTAATCAAACAAAAATACTTTTTGGATGAGCTACTGAGCGATATAACAGATATATTTTTTAATTGTATCCGGCGAATGCTAACGTTTGACATTTGTGCTACATATATCTTTTACTAAAAACACAGACATTATCTACGTTCTTTCTGTTTCGTTGACTTATGTGATTTTGCGACCTATAAAACAGTGGTGTTATTCTGATTGTCCGTTCACCGAACCCGCTTCTAAATAGTGCGTGTACCTTACACGAGTCAAGCTTTGGCCAAGTTTCATCATCTCTTGATTATTGTCCATTCCGAATTTCCCGCACGGTGCACGTTCCATAACTGATTCTCCTGTGGTGATTCTGTACCAAAACTTAGGCAGCATTGGATTCAGAACTTGTCCTCGTCCTATGCCGGCCCGAAAACAACACTACCGATCCGGTTCATTAATCGATCGATCGGATGATTCGGCCTCAACACGGGACCTGGTGCTTACCCAACTAGCCCGAGCGAGAAGCCACACCTGTTTTACAGTCGCGAGTCTTAGGCAGGCTCAGTGAACTTCGACCGTACAGAAGGAGTGCCATCACCACTCGGATGAACTGGACATGAAAACAAGAGAATTACAAAAGTTGCAAGCCGGTAATCAGACAGTCTCATGTTAGGGTGAGGGATTCCAAGTGCCGAAAATCACGGAAAAAGATCCAATCATATCACAGAAAGGGTCAGAGGGAATTTACTTAATCGAGGTCATGGGTGAGAGGGACAAGACAATGTAAAACAATGGAGCAATCGCAAAAAAGCTTGTACACTGCTGTGTTTGTCTTACGATACATACTATGTTGCTCTATGGCTGCGAGCCACGGCCACCTTGAGAAGATGATCTTTCCTAACTAATCAGTCTAGACAACTGTTGTCTGCGCATCACTGCTTGTGTTTAAGTTGAGAGTATTGCTTGTGTCAGAACGGAGTTAAGCGATGTGTATTGGTAGAATATATGTATATAGGTCGTAATAACCTTGTTTGCAACACCAGTGAATTTTGGATAGACAGCTCTTTCAGGGCCAGTCCATTGAAGAATCAGTGCTATGATTCGATGGTTTGCAGTTTGGTTAGATGCTACTAAGCGCAACCAACGTGACGGAAATACACGTCCTGGGTAAAAGTATATGGATGAAAAGATAAAAGGCTACCGGATACGAATGCCTGACGAGGGGCAAGAGTCGTGAAAAGGGTTGTGTACTACCAGGGAAATTTTTTTAGTCATTCCCATATTAATTATTATGCAATCTATACATATCACGAGATAATGGAGGCTTACATTGAGTTTTGAAGTGTGTATTGTAGCGCAGCAATCCAAGCTAAGATACGTAATGAAATGTAAAAGGAATGTGCATATATTTTATCAAAACGAATTTCGATATCTTCAATATTGACTTCAGTTCCACAGGTGATATATAACGTGAAATTTTTACTTCATTAAATTTTGCCAACAGGTAATGCGATCAACTCCATTCTGCGATGTTTGTTTATTTGTAACTGACGCTTACTGATAAGAAAATCCGTGTGGCATGCTATTAGCGATCTGTATGGGTGTGGGATGAACGAGTGCAGGGTGTAATCTGTTCAGACCAACTTAAATCAACCATTGACACGGGACTGGATTTCACTGACCGTATGTTGACAAAATCCAACAATGTGGCTGTCATACCCACATAACGACAGCAGATCGCCTTGTACGAGGCGTTGGTCAAAATCAGCTTCATTTGCATTTCCACATTTATGTCGAAATCCTAAAAAGACCAACAGCAACAACAACAACAAAGCAGGATATCAGTGACGGGAAAGACATGTGGGATAACTCGCACACAATCGATAACATATTACGCACGCGGAAAAGCAAAGACAGCTTGAAAGAACATGAAGATGAGGACAAGAGTTGAACGGAGGTTGAGCGGGACAGAGCGGGAATTAGTCGAGTGGGCGTATTTAGCCAGTCGTAGGGTGAGCACATATACGCGCACGCACATACGCACCGTTCAATCCCAGCCGCAATCGATCAGGCCTAAACAATTCTTAGCCAAAATCCGTTTTGCGGGATTAACGGAAGGTACTCGTAGCCTAATGTGGCCTTACTTTCCTGTGAATAGTGCATTTCACTTTCTGTGTAGTTGTGTTTCGCAAACGGTAACAAATTTCTGAGACATTTTTGCACTGATTACAAGCCAAGCTAGGACCATGTTGTGAGAGCTCCACATTGTTACTTGATAAAACCCGACATCGAATTAATATGTATAAGCAGCTCTTATAACACCAGAACGGCCAGATAGAACATGGAGATAAAACGAGTAGGTCTCTATACGGACACCAATCTTAAGTACGGAATGAATGTCGGACAAAGATTGCGCTAGGAATATTTGTAGGCTCCCGATGAACTTTGTCTAGCAACACCAAACTCGGGAAATAGAGCATAATTGTGAAATGGTACTTTGAATGCAATGAAGGAACACGTAGTAAAACTTGGAAGACTTCTCTTTTCCCTCCACATTCAGACAATGAAATTGCGCAAGAGCGGCATTCTTCATTAGTTCAGTCTTCAAGTTAAAAATAGATCTAAAAAATGCTGACTGTCTAGGTCAGGTTTCCTCAGAAAGCACCGAGTAGACTGACAAGTGGCTTTACAAATATCATCATCAAACGTACAATCACTTTTTGGAAAAATGAACAACTTCACAAAATTGATAAGAATGAAAAGAAAGAAATTTGGTAGCATTCTGACATCAATTACTCTTCGGCTGAGCTGGATTTCTTTCATATGCACCAGTTGGATACAAACTTTTTACTACGACACCGTGATCGTGGTATAATAACTTACACCAGATCTTCTTGGTGTAAGTCTACAAAGAGTATATTTACCTAAAACGTAGGGCATATCTCATAAATTTTGGTTGAATGTAAACCCCGAATTCCTAATTAATATCATTACATCGTGTCATTAAACATTTACATCGCGCCCATCGGTACAACTTTTGATGTCCAGACGTTTACTGCTTTTAACTTGCTTCACAAGAGGAGACGAGCAGCTTGACTTTATATTTTCGAACGATTCTGGCTTGTTTGCCGTAGAAAGAGGAGTTCCTTTGTCAAAATCCAATTATTGTATCATAAATGTTTTGCCAAAGTCTACTTAAAGAAAAATCATGGTACACTGATACATACACCAAGTCGGAAGATTTTTCATAGGCTGTGCTACCCGGCCCACTTGGCATCACTGAGACAAATAGTTTCCTGTTCAAATTTTGACTAATTCTTTGACCCAAGTGTCTCGGTCCAGTGTGAACACCTCACTAGCTTTGACAATAATTAGTATATGAATGACTAGACGAACTTTCCCTGGAAGCACACAACTGGTTCCGCGGCTCTTGCCGCTNNNNCTGGTGTGCGTATCCGGTAGTTCTTTGTCTTTTCACTCATATACTTGTATCCAGGATATGTATTTTTGTCACAATGACCTCATTTGCAACACCGATTAAATTCATTTGAACAGCTCGTTTAGAACTAGTCCAATCAGGAATCAATACTATGATTCGATGGTCTAAAGGTGGGCTACATGCTATTAGCCGCAACAAATGCCACCCAAGCGTTTTTATTGATTATTTCATAATAAGTAGCAGTTGAGTGACTGGACTTGAGTGGCGTTGCGGTTAGTAGCATATAACCCCCCTACAAATTATCGAATCATAGCATTGATTCTTCAATGGACTGGTTCTGAAAAAGCTGTCCAAACGTTTTTACCCGGTGTTGCAAATGAGGTTGTTGTGACGACCTCACTAGCTATTTAAACTTCTGGTTTGACCCCTGC